CCCCTCTCCAGAGAACCATACCATTTTCTATACTGTCTCCTTTTACCCCACAGTGACCTGGGGTAAAACGGTGGAGTATTAGGAAGCATTTAACACCTACTTCCTAAGCTGTGCTGCTGTTTCCTGAGAGCTTCTAGGAAACCCAGAAAGGATTGTGGTTTTACTTCTTCAGAAACTTCATTAGACCAGGAGGTGAATAGGCTCTTCTGGTGAGGTGAACGTAGCAACTACAGCCTATTGCTACCAACCTACCACCATCCATCCACTCTATGTACCATCTAGAGAGCCTAGACCCATGTATCTTGGGAAAGAAAGGCATTTAATTCGTGCTTTCTAGAGACATACTTTTCTTTTTAATGGTCCGAAGCATCTCTAGGTACTTAAGCACTGACTATGGTATTGAAAAGTCCAGGTCATCTATATACATCTCTAAGACCTGAGAAGGGTGGGGGTTTTGCCAAAAGTATATGGGAGACGAACATTTATTTCTAAGATATTAGCTATAGCCCTCAGATAGAGTAAGAGACAAATAAGCAGGTATCAGAACTTTTTAATCCATTGCACTGTAAGTAACTATCAATTCCCTGGGAGATGAAAGTTCTTTTTTCTATCCATCCATCTACTCATTGACAAACCCATCCATCCATCACTCATCCATCCAAACATCCATCCTTGCACCCATCCATCCATCACCTGTCCATCCATGTGTCCATGTATCTATCATCAATGCATGCATGCCTGGATCCATCCATCCACCAACCCATCTGTCCATGTGCCCATCCATCCATCATTCATCCACCCATCTAGCCATGCACTTATCCAAGAGTTTGTTTATTGAGCAGCGCCAGGAACTACTCAAATCACTTGAGGGCCTCGATGAACAATAAAAAAACAGGGAAAGTAGTGTGATGTGAAGGGAGGAAAGGTGAAAAATTTCAATAGGATGCTCTCATGGGAAGGGAAATGGAAGACATAGACCTGTGGATAACCAGGCCAAGAGGGTGGCCAATTCAAGACCCTTGTGCTGCCTGTATAGGAAAAAGCAAAGAGAGCGCCTGAGTGAGAAAAGAGGATGGACTGAAAACTAAGGCCAGAGTGCTTCTGGGGAGAGATTAGATTATGTAGGATCTGTAGCCATTTCAAAATTGAAGTTTGAGCAATCATTTCACATTCACACTTGAGCCAACGCCCCGCCCCCTACTGCTGGTCTATCAAGTAGATTCAACCATAATAATAGTGTTTATCATCACAACCACTGTTATTGTTGTTCCATTTCAGACATGAGAACAATGAAGTGCAGAGGAAGGAAGTAATTTCCCCAAGGTCAAGGTCCCCAAAAGGGGAAGGAACACAGCCAGGATCCCATTAGAAGGTTGTTGACCTCAGATGATGAGAGGGATTTTTCTGTCTCCAGATATCTGTCCTACAGGACCTCTTGCTGGGTTAAGCACTGTGCTGCTTATTTTCTTTCTTGTCGCTGAAGTTGCAGGTACAGGGTCCCATAGTCTCATCCTGACTTGGGAAGACTAAAAAAAAAATGTCCAGGAAGTGATGTTTGTAATCAAGATCACCATGTCAGGGATCCCTGGACATACTTGGAAGAAATGATGCTGTTAGAGAGGAAACTGTTGTCAGTTGTGGGGTTTGAACTCAAGGCCTAGGTGCTGTCCCTGTGCCTCTTTGTGCTCAAGGCCAGTGCTCTACCACTTGAGCCACACTACCAATTCTGGTTTTAGAGTGGTGAATTGGAGATAAGAGTCTCAGGGGGACTTTTCTGCCCAGGCTAGTTTTGAACCACAATCCTCAGATTGCAGCCTCCTGAGTATCTAGGATTATGGGCATGAGCCATTGATTGGTACCCTCCAAGTGGAAACTCTTTAAAGTATGGTTGTCTTATAGGTGCTTCATTGTGGGACAAGGAATGGTAGTGGGAAGAGTCAACTGGAGGGAGATTGGCCCCTAAATTGGGCCCCAATTTAGGGCAAGCCTGCGGCTATGCCTAAATTCAGCCCTTTACAGAAGCTGGGGCGGCCTAGCAGGTTGTACTCAAGATTGAATGTCAGTAGGCTAGGATTGAAGTGATTCATCTCATTTCTTATAGGAAATGCTCTCTTGCAATTATTTCTTAGGTGTCTGGGACATTTTAATGATATTTATTCTTTTTCTTTATAATTGCAAATATAATGCATACTGATGGTGGAAATTATCATTACAAATGAAGAGAAAAACATTCTCTTCTGTTTGTTTTGTATTTGAGGCAAGGTCTTGTTCCGTATCCCTGGCTGTCCTTGAACTCATGTCCTGGGCTCTCTAACACTGGGATTACTGGTATATGCCATCACACTCAACATTCCATTCATGCTTAGTTAATTTTGTGCTTTTCAATCCAATATAAATCTCTCTTTTCCCCCTCCAACATGCATACATACACCACATACACACACTGTCACCTAGACTCTCAGCCTTTGTTTCCTTTTTTATAATATGGAGATAAAAATATCCACCCTGCAGGGTTATGTAATGGATGCTTAATTAATTACTCCGTGTTTATTTTTCATCCACTTGACATTCTATAATGAACATTTTCCATGTGTCATTAACTACGCTTCAAAAACATGACTTTTAATGGCTGCATAATATGCCATCATTTAATGAACCATAATTTATTTAACTATTCTGCTCTTATTGAACTTTGAAGTGTTTTCTAATATTTTGCTACGAGAGATAACACTGCATACTGAAATCTTTCTTGACATTTGTTTTATTCCCCCCCTTTATGATAAACTTCCAAAACAGAAATGAATGGACAAACAGTATACAAATTTTCAATGTTTTACACATATGGTGTCAAATTATTTTCTCAGGGTGGGGAAATATGTATTTCTCATGCCATCACCAGCATTAATAGTTCAAATTCAACACTCAAGTCAGAGAATGCATGTGTCTGCATGTTCGTGAATGGGCAGAAGAAAGATGGAACATGGAATGTCCCAGAACCATCTAACATTTTCAGTGCATAAAATATATTTAGTTCCTAAGAGACTCAGAAATGGATACATTTTCTAATGGCTCCTTTCATGCTAAGCAATCTTCATCCTGGGGAACCCATAATTTTTCTCTGGCCAAGTTTCTAAGATTAGTCCATATCTACACACACACATACACACACACAAACACACAAACACAAACACACACACACAGACACACAGACACACACACACCCTATTGCTGTGTCCCAATCATTCTGAAGGGGATTGATAATTGTGGCAACTGCATAAAATGATTGCTACCTGCCGAGGCAATCACTTCCAACTTTGGCAGAAGCTGATGAGCAATTCATTATCAAGGATGTAATTGACGTAAACCCAGGAGGAAATGGGGGATTTCTCCAATGATCTCCAAGATTTTGTGCAGTTGACCCTCCCCGGCACCAAATTAGCTGTGGCCAACGAGAATTGGAAATCAGACTGGGGTGGAAAGGTAAGCACACCATGCAAAGTGCAGGGGAATGTTTGCATAACCTGCCTTGAACTGGGGGATGTTACCAAGAGGGAAAGCTGCCTCCCTTCATAGTTATGAAGACCTTGGCAGCAAGTTCAAAGCTGGCTTCTTCAGTCAGCAATGAAAATAAAGGGGGGGGCTGAGGTGTAGCCCAGTGTTAGAGTATGTTGCTTAGCTGCACAAGCCCCTGGTTCAAATTCCAGCACCATCCTCCCCACAAACAAACAAAAACAAAGAAGTGCAAAAATATGTGCTCTAAGAGCTATATAGGTCAGATCTGGAATCGGGCAGCCCAGATTAATGTCTGCTTCATTGTCCCCTGCCCTTACCAGGAGAAGCTAAATAAGATAGCCAGGTCCTGCATCTTTCTCTACAGGAATGACATTAATAACATGGCCACTTTTTGTAACTAGACCACCAATGGTTTTAGAACCTCCTGGTATAAAGCCTTGGGCAGGGAGACCATAGGCAACAATGTCTATCATCCCTTAAAAAGGGATGTGTATCAACCTTAAAAAGGTTGGTTTCCTTAGGCTTGGAAGGTGGCTCAGTGGTAGAGTGTTTGCCTTGCATGCATGTGACCCTGGGTTCAATTCCTCAGCACCACAGAAGCAGAAAAAAGCTGGAAGTGGCGCTATGGCTCAAGTGGTAGAGCGCTAGCCTTGAGCTGAAGAGCTGAGGGACAGCGCCCAGGCCCAGAGTTCAGGCCCCACAAATTGGTTTCCCAATGACTTGAAATATACCCGATGACTTTGAGCATTTTTCACCCCTGAAAACTCTGAAAATTATTAATAATTAACTCTATTTGGAAAATTATTAAAGAGATCAAGGAAGAAGAGAGGGACGAGATATCATCTATTAAAGACCCAGTGTGAAGGATGGTCTCTACAGAGTTACTGCCTGCCAACTCCTTTTGAAGATGAACGTTTCCCTATGAGCCAAGGTTCCAGTCTTATTTCCCCATTCATTACCTATATGAATGGCTTAGGGTAAGTGATGTCACTAGGTCTCACTTTGCTCATCTGGGGTGATAATGGGGGTGATAATTACTGTTGGCCATCAGCTTACAGTGATGGATGACATGTGGCAAGTAATCTTGCTTTTTTAAATATGTATATATTTTTATTGTGAAAATACCATACAGAGGGGTTACAATTACAAGGTAATGAGTATATTTCTTATCAAGCATTGTTGCCTCCTCCTTTGTTTCCCCTTCCCATCCCTTCCCATCTCCCACCCACTCTCCCCCCAGCCCCTCTACCCCCGGCCAAAGTTGTAAAGTTCGTTTTTCAACATAACGACTGCAATGGGTCCACCTGTATCCCTATTTAAATGATTTGTTTTTGCCCTTCCCCTCCAACATCAAATACAGTAAAATAAATAAATCAAAGGCTATGCCATATGTGTGGTGGCTCACACCTATAATCCTAGCCACTCAGGAGGCTGAGATCTGAGAGGATCGAAGTTCAAAACAACCCAGGCAGGAAAGTCTGTGAAACTCTCATCTCCAATTAATTACCAAAAAATAAAAAAAAAAACTGGAAGTAGAGGTGTGGCTCAAGTGGTAGAGCACCTAGAGCAATAAATAATTTCAAGCCTCTCAGAGCGTAATTTCCTGTCTTCTATCAATAGTGTGTGTGTGTGGCAGTTCATTTCATGTTGCCGGCCATTGTGCATCCCTTTGAATCCTGGCGCAGAATTTCTCTAGCTGAGCCCCTTGAGGTCAGTGCCTCCATGAAGGGTATTCTGTAGTAAAAATTTAACGGAAACAGTAAATTAAACAAGCTTATTCTCTATAGGATACCACTGAATCATAAATAGTTTGGAATGTACAATAAATCTCCAAGAGTGGAAAGAAAATAAGTGGGATTTCTCACAGTAATTTCACCTAAGGGTGCTTATTTGTGCAACTCTGAAGACTACAACGTGACTTCAAAGCTTTCTGTTGGCGATCAAGCTATCGGGTGACTAGGGCATGATTCCATTCCTAAGATTCATGTCCTCTTCGTATTTTTGCTGAGCTTTGGAAAGTGCATCTAATTGGAACCTAAATTGAATCCCCAGTGACAGAAACTTAACAAGAGGTTAGAAAATGCCCAGATATGACTGTTGATTTGTCTGGGATTAATAAGTAAATAAGTTAATAAGAAATTACAAGTAAATAATAAGTAAAGTAAGAAATAAATATAAGAAATAATAAGTAATTAAGGTATACTCAAAAGAAGTAATTGATTCCATTTCAAGAAGACTCCTGGAAATATAACTCTTATACACTGGGAAGTGAACGCTTGTGTTTGCCAGCTTGCTCCTCCTGTGCTGTGCATTAACACCTTCCTGGATCATTATGGGATATGGGTTGTTATGGTGATCAGCGCAAAGCTCCATGGATGGAAATTCAGAAAGATGCTGCAAGGAGAAAAGCCAAGAGCTTCTCACTCACGTGGGAGCTTGTTAAAAATTCAGATTTAGATGTAGGAAGTCTGGGGTGAGATCTACAATTGTACATGTCCAAGAGCAAGGTGATGCTAATATGAGTGGTCAGTGGACCACATGTAGAGTCAAAAGGATGTGTCCCTACACATGTTCTGAGAAGTGGATGCTCCCAGAGGAGGGCACACTAAACCCCCTGTGCTCCTAACTCGTGAAACACTAGTCCTATAATTCCTATATGTCTTATAATTCTTCATTTTCTATCAGTTACCTATAACATATTTAATCTTTTTTTTCTCCTTCCTTCCTTCCTTCCTTCCTTCCTTCCTTCCTTCCTTCCCTCCTTCCTTCCCTCCTTCCTTCCTTCCTTCTTTCCCCTCCTCTCCTCCTCCTTTTCTTTTCTTGTTTCATTTTGCCAGTATGGGGCTTTGAACTCAGGACCATGCGCTTCTTTGCCTTGCTTCTTGACTGTCATCCTGACACTCAAGCCCCACCTCCAGCTCCATATTTTGATGGTTAATTGGAGATGGAGTCTAGTGGACTTTTCTGCCTGGGCTGGCTTCCAACTGTGATCCTTCAGATCTGAACCTCCTAAGTAGGATTAAGAGGTGTGAACTGCCCATGCCCTGCTCTATTTTATCCATTTAAAGAGAGCCCCAAAGAGAAGATGGGGCAGAGATGGGAGCCCTGGGAACCAAGGAAAGGGGCTGGGGTCCAAGCAACCACAGGAATCCAGTGGGAGCCAAGAAACGTATTTTCCTTTGGAGCCTCTAGCAGAATGATCCCTGCGGACACCTTGGGTTCCGACTCACTTTGGGGCACCCAGTTTGGTGGGTAGTTAGTGTAGTTCTGAGACACGAACGTGACTGAGTCACTGATTTCCCCCATTTTATCTAGATTTCAAAGAAAATGCATCGTGTAGGTCTCCTTAGTCTGATGATACAAATCTCCACCCTTGTGGGAGGGGGGTGTAGTAGTGAGAATTCAAAATGAGTTTAATCAGCCTAATGTCAGCTTCTAAACTATCTCTGGAGGGAACTCAGCGGGCTTCCTCCCCCTGACTCCCTCTGGCTCCCCTGGCCTTCTGCTCCCTCCTCGTTGGGCATTTCCATGGGGATCTGGTGGCAGAAGACCTGGTTCTCTGTGGTGGCAGGGAAGGCTGGGGCCTGCTTGAGCCACCCAGTAAACTCCATCACTGTACCTGGCTTCTCTGGTTTCCGAGGAGACGCCCTTTACTGCCTGTTTGCTGAGCACCCTGCTGGAGGGGCCACGAGGAAGCCAGGGGTAGGTGAACTTGAACTCTCTACTCTGCCAGCCCATGGCAGGTTCCTCCCTGCTCTTCCTGCTCCTCTGAGGTAGACCACAGGGCCCCAGGCCATCGCCATGGATGGCTGTTCCCTCTGCTCAGTAATCCTCATCATTCTTAGCACACAAGCCCCCTCAAAGGACCCCGCAAGACCCCAGCTCTTTCCCTTCCTCACCAGCACCAAGGCTGGCTGGAGATGCTCTGATGACTCAATTTACCCACAGTGTACCTCGGGATGGATGTCTTGCAGTATGTGTGGGGGGCAAGAAGGATGTCGTATACACACTTTTCTTCTCAGATCCCAAACAGGAAGCAGGAAGAGAAAAGCCCCTCTTCTGCTCTTGGCTCTCTTCCCTCCCCCTCCATCCATCTAGCTGGTTTCCCCTCCCTGCACTTCAGCCCACTAGAGGCTGACTGAGACTCGTCTGCTTCCACCACCTGCCCGGCTGGCTCAGCTGCCCAGCACACCTGCAATGGCAGAAATGGGAACCTGGGCTGCTTCACGTCCCCCACTCTGCACCCTTCTCTCTTCCACAGTGGCATCTTCCGTCCCTCTTCTACAGGCGGACCCATAGAATGCCGTCATGGGCCTGTTTTGTGCAGCCCTAAGAGAATACCACATGTTGGGTGATGCATAGTGAACATTCGTGTGCCTCTTGCAGTTCTGGAGTTCTGCAAGAGTCCACGAGAGAAGAGTCAGGATGTGGGGGTCTTCACACTGCAGGGTACCATGGCAGACGGTGGAATGGCACAAGATTGGGGGGGGGAGCTGGGTAAGGGAAGATGGATGGACACTGGACACACCCTTTCCTAGGGAGCCTCCTGTGGGTGGCAAGAGACTGGTTGTAATCTCCATATTGTCTCACCAGAGAGCCCCTCCCCCCCCCCCCCGCCCCCCGCCCCTTGCCCTCCCTCCTGATTCTGTTGCCTAGGAGATTAAGTTTCCAAACACATTCTTTCGGGGTGATATATTTAAATCAAAGCACATACCTTTGCCACCAAACAAAGGGTGGGGGGAATATATATCCCTTTTGCGTTAAAAAAAAAAAAAACATTATCTTTCTTATAAGAACTAATCGCACATGCAGGTCAAGCCTTTGTAGGGCCCTAAGGGTGGAGTGTACATGTCAGAAAAGAATCCAAGATTTCTCCAAACAGTTAGCCATTGGAGAGCAGAATAAGACCTCGGCAAATTTAGGGACCTTGTTGGTCCCACGACGAGCCATCCTGGTTCATAGGATGGTGAGTGACAAGATAGGTCTGCCTGCAGCTCATTTGGCAACGAGTTGATGGTTTGATTGGCGTGGCCTCTACTGCATTTTCAAACATGAACGTCATTGCCCATAACTGCAGAATTTGTAGCAAGCCACGAGCCTTCATGAATTATATTTCTATCGCTAAGGTCGGCCTGGGTTCCCTCTTGGATAGATCGCCCATCCATGAATGGGCTGCAAGTTAGTCAAGCAGGACTATCTATCCCTTTGGTCTCCCATGCCAGTTCACCATCCAAATTGAGGAAGGCCTTGAACTTCAAGGCCACCAGAGCTTCAGCAACAGCTCCCTAAGTGAACACCCAGGAGCGGCGGGAGATGAAGTTAATTCAAGGTGGGGGAGGGGGTGCAAATCCAGAGGCTCAACATCAAGCTGTGTGGGAAAGGTTGGTGGGAGATGTTCCCATTTTCAGGGGTAGCAGAGCCCCCACCCCATCACCACTCCTAGCAGGCCTTGCCTGCTAATCTGGGCCAATATAGCCCAATGCCACCACAGCCCAAGATGGGAGACACCCCCAACATGGATGTGGTGTGACCAGCCAATGGAAAGTTCTGGAGAAGGAGAAATCCCCTCAAGGTAGGCTATCATTATGAAACTCAAGTTCCTCAATAAAAGGCCCAGAAGAAGAGGTTGTGTGTATGTGAGGACACGCACCTGTGTGACCACACATATGCACATATACATGTAGCACACATGGTATCCTAGTGGCCTGAAACCCTATGGGGTCCGTAGGTGCTTACAAATGTTAAGAATATATTCATAGCACAAGGGGGCCTTCTGTGCCTCAAGATCTTCTCTGTCACCTCTTAACCTAGGCAGGGCATCCTTGTACACATACTGCATTCTTCCACTCAGTTCCAACTCTCAGCCCCACCACAGGGAAAAGGGGAGCTTTCTCGCAACTCATTTCTCCTTGGTCAAAAGCAGTTAGGTTAACCTGGCCAGGTTCGGTCAGGTGAGGCAGACCATCCTGCACAAAGTGATTCTCTTATCTGATAGTAGGAAATGTCTAGCATCTTTCAGACCTTTCTCTTAGGGAGCACACCGCATGCTAATTTCCTTCTCCCCCAAATTGTCGACTGCAATTGCCATGTTAGTGTTAAAACAAAAAAACACACAAGCTCCTGTGTAAATACTGACTTCTTCAAAAGGATTCTGACATATCCATATTTCATCCTTCTCTCAAGGATGATAGAATTCTCCACTCTCTACAAACCCCTTGCACTGTGTTCATCTCTAGAACAGTGGGTATATCTAACATCCTGGATCGTGTGTGTGTGTGTGTGTGTGTGTGTGTGTGTGTGTGTGTGTGTGTGTGTGTGTGTGTGTGTGTGTGTGTGTTTGTGTGTGTGTGTGTGTGTGTGTGTGTGTGAATTTACATTACCTCTCTCTCCTCTGTGTGTGTGTGTGTGAGAGAGAGAGAGAGAGAGAAAGTGTGCATGCATATGCGCGCTCGTGCACCAGTACTGAGGCTAGAACACAGAACTTCTCCTTCAGCTTTAT